CCATTCTTGGAATAAACCAGGTAGGAGAGGAATTTATGGTGGCTGTAAAACTGTGATGAGACCAAATTTGGTACACAAATTACCATGACCTCAGAGGTAACTTCAAACAATTTACTCCAAATCCATAGATAACCTTCACAATATTTCTTCAGATGTCTGTAGTGTGTATATGTGCTGTATGTGCACACATTAAAGTACAGTCAGATAATGAACATCTGGTATTCTCACACTCATTGAATGGTCATGCTTAAAGGAAATCACGTTGTGTTGATAAAGTTGTTCTATAGCAACAAGGCAGTTTTTATCAAGTCTGTGAAATGTAATTTTATTCATAGAAGGGCATGTCTTACCAGATACACGGTCCCCAAATAAATAAAAGATCAGCATTATTAAAAGCACACAAACACAGTTTCACAGGGTACAATACAAAGTCAAATTTGATCTTACTTGCATTTACTAAAAATCTGAGAAAGACTGTGATCAATCTCTATCTTGCATAAAGACAAAAGTACAGCACAATTATTTCATAGAAGGTTTTGGAGTGACAAGTTGAGAAGACTGCTTTAAAAGATATGGAGATATCACAAATCAAACCCCACTCTCTTTTAACATTAGAACATGGAATTGTACTTAATCAAAACAAGTAAAGTGGCTGAAGAAGGCTGTATACTTTCTTCCCCAACAGTATACTCATTTCTATTTTTGGCAGGAATTAATAACCTTTTCCATTAGTAGGAAAATGTGCTCTGCAAACTCTCGGAGGGCACCACGGCCACCATTACATCTGCAAATATATCCCACAGCCTTCTGGGCCGTGGAACAGGCATCAGCAGGAACACCACTTAAGCCCACTTTCTTCAAGCACTCCTCATCAGACACTTCATTTCCTGTCAAGTAAAAGAAATGCTGGTTGAATATTTAAAGAGACAAAGAATATTCTTTACAATAATGCAAACAGCAACCAATAAGTAATTCTGGTAACTTTAGTAAGACCTAAAAGCACTGCATATAAGAAGATTACAGATTAGATGGAACGAAAATATGTTCAAGTATTTTAAAGTATAACTGAGGTCTAGGGTTTTTTCTAAGTAATTCAAAATAAACTATCAGTTAAAGAAGGAGAATGGAGTATACTTTC